ATCGCTGTTCTCATCCAAGTAACTTGTGTATTCTTCGGCTGAAACAAGGTGAATTTTATGTTATTTTGTACGTTAGCTTGATTTACGAAAGTTTAAGTATCTAAATAACCTTGTAAAATATTGAATAATGTAACACAAAAAATATTGAAATTTTTTTATTAGTTATTTTTTCTTTACAGAAAGCAATCACACAAAATAAATCAACATTCAAACAAAATATGTTAACATTCTATAGTATATTAAAATTATTACAATTGACAATTAATAAATTCCGCGCGGTGTTAAATGTCACAACGAACGATTTCTTAATGGCTTCAGATTACGAAGTTTGTTATATCCCAGCAGCTCCAGATTACAAAGTTTGTTATATCCCAGCAGCTCCAGATTACAAAGTTTGTTGTATCCCAGCAGCTCCAGATTACAAAGTTTGTTATATCCCAGCAGCTCCAGATTACAAAGTTTGAGATACCCCTAAATAAACTGAATAGCAACCCACTTCATCGTAATATTCTCTATCTAAGAAACACGAAACATATTTTAAAATCATTCTCAATTATTAATAAATTTGGCGATTATTTAAGTCCTGAAAAAAACACGAAAAACACAGGTGCAGAGTTTCTTTTCAAATGTGGAAAATTTGACAACTTTTTCATTTAAAAAAATACCAGGTTTTTTAAATGAGGAATATGTATGTATGTATTCAATAAATACATATTGTACTCTTGAAGAATCTGTGACAAATAAATATGGAACAAGGGAGAGTATTTGCAACGAAGGTAAACCTATTATTAAAAACTATGTTATAATGGTTAAGGAGCTACATTTATAAAAAAAAAAAAGTGGATGAGAAAATCAACATAAACAAAGGGTAATCATCCTTTCGCTACAAATAAAAGCAGCTATGAAGTAAATACGTTTAAGAGTGAAAGAAAAGGCAATTGTTAACATTTTATGAAGCGAAATTAAACGAGAGGAATTAACAGTGGTTAAACATATCAATATGGAAATAAAATAACAGAAAAACCTTGCCAGTTTCTGTAAATCGTATGTTCCATGTTTACTACGTTTGGAAAGGATAGAATGGTGCTCGCGAATAAAACGATAACCTAATTGTAATAATTCCAATGGGATAAAAGAAATCTCTCAAATACTCTGTTTAAATTGTTAGGTAGGACTAAAGATTTTAAACTTTTATGATAATGAAAAGGTATATTATTAGACGTCAAGTACGTATTAAAATAGGCAACACAATAAAGTTAATGCTCATTAGGTGTTGAAATAAATTATTAATGCGCGAAAAAAAAAGACAGAAATACTGAATCATCTCTCTTTCCACAAGGAATTTAATTTCACGCACTCTTCAGCATATATATTCAAAAGAAAATTATCAGGAATTAGAAGTTTTTAAAGCAAAATCTGTTATTTTGGTCAGAGCGATGAAATTTTTACGAGTAACTGATTTCAATATTAAAACAGGGAAAGAAACTTGAATAATTGGTACTTAAAACTCTGGCTAGAAAAAAACACAAAAAACACACGCATTAAACCAGTAATCCATGGGGTAATAATACGGCTAACCCAAAAATTGTGACAAAATAATTGATTATAAATAAACATAGAAGACAGATTATAATAGTTTCAAAAAAGTAAACATTTTAGTGACCTAAGATACTTTAACCTATAAACTCTTAACTTTAGTAGAACACCATACAATACCGAAGTTTTTAGGTAGAGTGAGCATTTAAACCCGTAACAAAGTATTCAAATAAGTTACAAGCTATACATAAATGACAGTGAAACATCATGCAGCCAATACTATATACAGCATCATGGACATCGCTTTTACAATGTGTGCAACCTTTTTTTTTACAAAAATCAGAAATTCTATGTCGATTAAATACATTTGTTTCAACCATGAAAACATACGAGTTTTCTGTTGACGTGCAGTTTTTAATTTTTCGCCTATTAATGTTATTTTTTCCTTTTTTTCAAGGAAAGGCGTTTGTGGTTCCTAAATAATCGGTATTGTTAACGTTTTTCCTATGGAACGGCAAGAGATTTCCTGAAGGACTAGTATTGTTAACTTTTTTTCTATGGAACGACAAGAGATTTCCTAAGGGATCAGTATTGTTAACGTTTTTCCTATGGAACGGCAAGAGATTTCCTGAAGGACTAGTATTGTTAACTTTTTTTCTATGGAAAGACAAGAGATTTCCTAAGGGATCAGTATTGTTAACTTTTTTTCTTCTGTAGAACGACAAGAGATTTCCTAAGGAATCGGTATTGTTAACTTTTTTTCTTTCTATGGAACGGCAAGAGATTTCCTAAGGAATCGGTATTGTTAACTTTTTTTCTTCTGTGGAACGGCAAGAGATTTCCTAAGGAATCGGTATTAACTTTTTCTATGGAACAACAAAAAGGTTTCCTAAGGAATCAGTATTGTTAACTTTTTTTCTATGGAACGACAAGAGATTTCCTAAGGGATCAGTATTGTTAACTTTTTTGTCTGTGGAACGGCAAGAGATTTCCTAAGGAATCGGTATTAACTTTTTCTATGGAACAACAAAAAGGTTTCCTAAGGAATCAGTATTGTTAACTTTTTTTCTATGAAACGACAAGAGATTTCCTAAGGAATCGGTATTAACTTTTTCTATGGAACAACAAAAAGGTTTCCTAAGGAATCAGTATTGTTAACTTTTCTACGGAATGACAAGAGTTTTCCTGAGGAATCGGTATTCTTAATTTTCTACGGAATGACAAGAGTTTATTGTTAAGTGTTCTACAGAACAGCAAGCACAGTCTTAAAATATCAGCATTATTAACTTTGATATGAAACAAAGTATTTCTAAAGGACCAGAATTGTTAGCTTATTGGACTTTATCAGCACAGTTTTAAATGGTGGGAACAGATAATAAAAGGATAAAAAAAAAGTAATGCAAAAAGTAACTATTCATATGAAATTTAATAAATTATAAACCAAAATCCAACTGATCTTTGAAACTCTTATTTAAGTGTTATTTGTTTAATGAAGATTTACGATTTCTATACTTGTTATTAACAGAAAAAATTACGAAAAACAACAACTATGGAGTCAACTCACAATAACCATATTCATCTTCTTCTGTGTATTTTGAAGTTAACCACCAGAAACGTGATTTGATTACAGGAATTTTGATTCAACGTCTTTTCCAACTCACGCATTTCAAACTTAAAACTAAGTAACATTTGAAATATCTTAATATTAAACGTTATATATATATATGTAACAGCCACTCTACTTATGCAACAATAATATCGAAATAAAATATTGCAATGCAAGATATAATCAACCATCTCTGAAAGTATCACAGGCACACTAACAATCACTCTGACGTAGCACGACGTTCAACCATTTCTGACCAATAATTGTCAGTTCTTCGCGGATAACATATGCAATAATCAAGGCCTAGTTTCTGTTATCGCATGCACTATATACTATCAACATGTACATTTGTTGGACTCAGCTTTCCGGTATACAGGGTCAAGTTACCTACAAAACTTGGACCTATCTCTCACATAAAAAGTTGTTACTGCTATTTCTTTTCGAGAAAAAAACCATTTGTTAAAAGTGAAGTTTAATTATAATCTCTTTTTTTTTCTCGTGTGGCCGAAGGCATATATTTACACTGGAAATAGTCTTAGAAGTTGTGACGATTCAACAGCACAGGTTACCCTACAGGCAAAAACACCAATGTTAACTTTCCTTAACATGATAATGACATTTCACAGGTTGTATAAAATCAGACAAAGCAAGGTTTTGGATGATGACGACGTCTCACAAGCTGTATAAACTCTGACAAAAACAAGGTTTTGGATGATAACAATGTTTCATAGACTGTATAGATTCTGACGAAATAAATAGGTTTTGATTTATAATAAACTTTCCCTGGCTGTAAAAAAAATAGATAGATTGTGGATGATAATGATGTATCAAAGGCTGTATAAACTCCTGAATGACGATAAAAATTTCCACAGTCTGTATGATTACTTGCCCTTTATCCTTTAGTCCTCATTTTTGTGTTACGCATGTTACCTAAGTTAAACTTATTTTGATTCTCGTATTTTCTCATTTCAGTCAGGAAGTTAAAGAAGTCTCTAAAACAGATACACATTTCAAATCTACCACGTACGTTATCCCTTGTACAACATTCCGTCCACTCTAAGGACCTGCACGGTAGCTCTTACAGTATTACAACATAAAGCTATTTATTATATTATTCATTTTTGATTTAGTTCATCATCGTTGTACCTAACGGCTTCACTCTCAAAACTCGCCTGTAAACTTACTGGACGTCTCTCTTCGAATAATTTTTTTTCAGGTAATAGTTGGTTCGGCGTTTAGGAACTACCAGCTTCTTGCTGTTGATTACTTCCCGCAGGAGTAGGGTAATTCACGTAAGTAACGTTAAGGCCTACACGACGCTGTTTGCTTTTTTGTTCGAGTTTTGTTATTACTCCTTGCAATTCTTCTTCAAGCTCCCCAAACGACGGACGTTTCTTCGGATCTTCAGCCCAGCAACTCAGCATCACTTTGTACCTTGAGAAAACAACAGTAGACAAGAAACAGTTAGTATAAAAAAAAAGAGGGAGCCATCGCATTAGAGGCGTCGCTAGGCATTGGCACACGGGAACCGTGCCCCGATTCTATTTGACATTGCCCCGAATCTCCAGTTGGTGTCTTGAAAAATCAGAATAAAAAACCGTGATCGATGTCATACTGAAACGCCGAAAACTTCCGCGTCTATAGGCACGAGTCCTGAATCTTTTATACACCTAGCAACGCCTCTGCATCATATTACAAGTCTTTTAGAATCAGTTGAAATAGCAAGAAAATGTCATTAACAATACAGTGACACATTGTAATAAATTACTTAAGAAAGATAACTAATAAATAATAAAATATAAAGTTAAATAGATGAAAAAATATATAAGCTTCCAGGTTCTAATTACACAGGCCTCCGATGAATTTATTGTCTTGAAATTTTTACATGTTCTACAGTAATTCATGTAGGATGAATCCGAAAATAATATCCATTTGTCTTAATCTCGTACAGATTTTTCACAAAAAGTAATATGTACTTTTATATAAGTGAATCATTTTCATTGATATCGGATCACATTTTGTTATGCTTAAAATGTTGACAACCACTAGCTATAGATTTCTCTAGACCAATCGCGACGTGAGAGTCTTATCGATTGTTCTAGAATCCAACCATAACAAACACAATAATAAAAAATGTTGACTGTAGTAAACGAAATGATAATTTGATCTAAGTAAAAGTATTTTTTCTTCCCGATTTGTAAAAAAATCCTTACGTGATAAAAAAAAATGTATATTATTTTCGAAATCTGCGTAACTGAATTATGGAAAATCCGTTATTAAAACTAAAACAATTTTTATGAAGTGGTGTATTTAAGTGTTTTGCACTCATAAAAAGAAACCTTTCATTCTATAGGTATTTGAAGTCTGGCTCACAGACCCCCCCCCCCCCCCCCCCAATGAAAGAATAGACCATTCCAAGCTTTTACTTGTTGTTAAACAAATATCTAAACAACTCTATTCAATTTTTATGAAGTTCGCAGGCCTGTGTTATCGTTGTGATGGATAATTCACCTCTGGGGTCGAACTAACACAAAACTGCTTATGGGTCTAAGATATTACAATGTCTCTAAAAACATAGGAATCACACACACACACAATAATTAAACAAAAAATAATAATAAACATTAATACTGCAATTAACCTCAATAATTACTGCTGGAGCCCCACGTATTTTACATAGAAAGTGAGTGATTTGGCTAAAAATGTTTTAGTCAGTTCTTTATACTGAGTGTAGTAACAGATAAAAATATGGACTTGCTCAGTATCAGTGGTAGCATATAGGGCGTGATGTGCACAGGGGCGCAAGAGCTTTAGGGGGCTCACCAAGCCCTAATCCAATTAACTTTAATAAAAGGTCTGTTAACGAGCAGTGGCGAACTAAGAACAGTAAAATTTTCAGTAAGACTGTGATGTCAGCAACTGGCGACTATTGTTCTGCCAGTCTTCCTTTGAACATGTTCTGTCGTGGCTCCGTAACCAATTTTTTTATGGGGTTTTCTATATGCCCCATTGTTCTGCCAGTCTTCCTTTGAACATGTTCTGTCGTGGCTCCGTAACCAATTTTTTATGGGGTTTTCTATATGCCCCATTGTTCTGCCAGTCTTCCTTTGAACATGTTCTGTCGTGGCTCCGTAACCAATTTTTTGTTAAGAAAAGTCATCTCTGAACATAATTGTTAACTCCGTGTTAATCAGAATCTGTGGGAGATCATGACCTTTGTTTTCTTTCTTATTTGTTACAATTTTATAACAATTGGTACTAAGAACTTGTATAACTGTCGGGTGACAATGTCTAAAGACTTGGGTACACAGATACATGAAGCACAAACGTGAAATTTAGAAAGGATATATCAAAATATGACATTTGTCAGTTATATTTTTAACTAGGATCTTAATTACTCTAGTTTTAAATTCAAATGGTTTAAAATGTTTTTTTAGATGGTGGAAGAATGTCAATTTACAAAATTAACTTATTAACCCTGAATTTGTTTTCATGCCGTCTACCACAGTTAGGATCCAAATATCATACTGACTCTGTATAAGAAATATCAAATTATCACAAAATGTTATGAAATTAACTAAAATGGGGCATATAGAAAACCCCATAAAAAATTGGTTACGGAGCCACGACAGAACATGTTCAAAGGATGACTGGCAGAACAATGGGGCATATAGAAAACCCCATAAAAAACTGGTTATGGAGCCACGACAGAACATGTTCAAAGGAAGACTGGCAGAACAATGGGGCATATAGAAAACCCCGATGTTAGGTGTACTTACAGGAGGTCTGGGCAGTAAGAAGGCTGAGGCATCCTTCTGTCTTGTTTCAGGTAGTTCAAGATATCCCAGTTGTCAACATCCGGGTATGGAGTGACCCCACGAGTCAAGAGCTCCCACAAAACCACACCAAATGACCACTAAAATGATAATTGTCACATGTGAATTAAATCCATCGTCTTAGGTAAAGATTACTCTATATATTTTGCTTTATTAGTCATACGACCTGGCATTACAACTTGTACCCAGAAACATGTGATATATTAAGTTCTTTCACGTGTTCCTGTCTCTTGTTGTGGAATTTTACATTTCGAAAAAACCAGTGGTAAGATTATTAATGGTATTTCAAAAGTAACAGGAATGAAATCAGTTTCAGTTATCCTGTTTAATATCAGTTTGAATATATAATGTTAACACGGTTTGAGTTAATATTTAACTATTTCCTATAATAACTAAATGTTCTGAATACGGTTTGCCTCCCGTAAAATATTGACCACGTCAGATACGAATCAATAAAGTTAATTTAACGAAATTATTACTGACGGACTACATATGACACAAACTTAAACGTCGCGCAAAAATGTAAAGAAAAATAGGCATTATAACTACTATTTTCTTACAATAACAAATAGCTTATTTCTAATATACCTTCGTCTTTAACACTAAAAACTAATGAACAGCAACGAAACGGCTTCTGATTAGATTTAGTTTGGTTTGTTTTGAATTTCGCGCAAAGCTGCTCGAGAGTTATCTGTGCTAGCTGTCCTTAATTGAACAGTGATAGACTAGAGGGAAAACAACAATTAGTCAACACCATCCACCGCCAGGTTTTTACCAACGAATAGTGAAATTGACCGTGATATTAGGCGCCTCCGTGGCTGAAAGGACGAGCATGTTCAGTGACGGGGCCTTCTCGTAGGCACTAAAATACCATTAAAAGTCACATATTAAGGCTTCAATGTTTCATTTAGAATTAAACCATTTTCCTACATAAAATGTGTGTTTTTAAGTACTCCTAATAAAATACCTGATGCTTTAAAACTTTAAAAGACCTCAAATAACATATCAACAACCATAAATATTCATTTTTAAAAACCTGCCCTCATTGAATTGAGAAATGTTCTCTGGTGGTAATTCAAAGGGTTTCGATACCTGCGGTGCGAACAGCATTGATAGTTCATTGTGTAGCTTTGCCCTTAATGACAAACAAACAAATGATATAATTTATTCAGATTTTTAGCTGTATGCCATCAAAGTGAAACCAATTTACCCGTTTATCTGATTGCGTTTCCAGAATGTGTTACGTTTTCCAGTTCCAATAACAATCAAACAAGAAAATATGCTCAGCAAAGGTAGAGTCTAAGAGTTTCACTTTTTAACTGCTTTTTTCCGCTCTTCGATACAAGTTTTGAATATTCTGCTACTTTCAACAAAATGATAAAATTTACAGTTACCCACCATGACGTTTCTTTTACACGAACAATTCCTGATTCTTCTGAAATAACCCTTTTATCGTTTGGTTGAACGAAGATTTGAAATAATGACATACGTGGCTTGTAAGAGTGTGTTTAGTAAGGTAATCGTTTTTTGTTGTTGTTGTTGAGACTCTGAGTATAACAGGTGTTCGAGTTTATATTTGGCTCCAAGCGAGGCCTGTTAACTTCGTTTACTAAAATTCTGAAAACTTAAAATAATCTAATCAACTTAAGTAGTACTTTGTTCTATTTATAAGCACAAATTATGTAACGAAGAACAAACATAAATTTACAAAAGTATGAAATTGTTTACTCCGACTAGTTTTGACGTACCAGGTATGTCATTTTCAAGGGTATATTGTACGTATACAGCGACATCTAGCGAATATTGTGAAATATAGGCATACATCGTACATCTAAAATTTTCTGAATAAGCTTATAGAAACGTAAATTAGGCCACAATCCCTTCACTACTTAGATATAAACTTATTTACCTTGTAATTTAAGGACGAGCCACTAGATGATTACTTTCTCTGCTTTTAACAATTTTACATTAAAGACTGATTGTGCATGACCGTCCCAAACTTTGAACTGACAGGGAATGCAGCTAATCAACATCACTCATCGCCCATTCTTGGACTTCTATTGTCTGATAAAACAGTGGGATTTGACTATCACTTTTATAATCCACGGTCCCAAAAGGCGTAGCGCGTTTTTGGGGCAACGGGTCGCGAACAATGAACATTCGAATTCCCAGTCCGGACACGATAACCATTAGGCCTAGGTGTTAAGTCATAAACGTGAGTCACTGATTAAAGGGAGACTCTAAAAAAATCTGTTGGTTGTCGATATTTTGGACAGTTTTTCATCTAGAGTATTTTCAATTGGTGAATATATTTGTGAAATGATTCCAAATAACGGCTGATTGTTATTTATCAAAGATGCATAACTATAAATTTAGAACTTAGAGCAAACTATAACGATGACGAATTTTATAAATTCATCGTTAAATAATATTTTCTAAAACAATTTCAGGAACCAGTACGTGTTACAATTTTTTTGGAAAGTGGACTCCATACAGATTTTCACTTTTAAACATTTCTAAAATGATGAATGTGAAAGCTTATGGGCGTGTTAGCAATTACCAACAAACAGTATTATTCGAACCGCAATCGAAATAACTAAAAGGCTTCGTGAGAAAAGTGATTTTAAAATACCATCACCTTTTATTTGTTATTTCAAACCGATAGAGGGACTTACCACGTCAGTTTTGGTGTTGTACGTTCCCTTCTCCAAGCTCTCTGGAGCCATCCACTTTACAGGGAGTTTGGTTTTCTTATTGTCACTACTATAGTAGTCACGTTCATAAATATCACGTGACAAACCGAAGTCAGCTACCTTGACAGTGTGGTCCTCGTCCAGCCTGAAAAGTCAACCACAATCGATGAAATAATAAAGAATAATGCTCATTTCAAAATGAAATAAAATTTACTTAAGTTTACTACAAGGTTTGGTTTGAATTTCGCGCAAAGCTACTCGAGGACTATCTGCGATAGCCGTCCATAATTTAACAGTGATAGACTAGAGGGAAGGTAGCTAGTCAATAACACCCACTGCCAACTCTTCGGCTACTCTTTTATCAACGAAAACTGGGTGTGACCGTCACATTACAACGCCTCCACGGATGAAAAGGCGAGCATGCTCGGTGACAAGGATTCGAGCAACAATGCAAAGATACAGCAAATATGATTTAAAGAAAATATTAAAAAGTCTGTACTTGATGAGTATAGGTTTCAACAAGAAACTACACATGTGATAAACAACGACAGCACAATACATTAAACATACAAAGGTAGTAAATAAAGTTCAGTTGTTTAACGTCTGTTCGAGAGCATCTGTTTTATTACAGTATGACGTTAAACAATTAGCAGAGAAGGAATAAAACTTTAATAGACGGATACTGGCATTTTCAATTTGAACAAATAGGGTAGATATGTCAGAGGTCCTTAGGGTTTAGGCATAGTCGTTCCTAGTTAAACGTTTCGCTTGTTCGTACAAAAGGTTTATCTGTACTAGCTGTTTCTAATTTTGAGGTGATAGATGTTCAATTAAACACGATCCACATTTTCAGTTATGGGGTCTTTATAACTAGAACAGTTAATTTCGTTATCTGGTGGCGATAGGTGCAGTTGACTCATTTGCCCCCTTTTGGTTAAAAATTTTAAAATACGGGTCCCAGGCGTGATTCAGTGGTTAGTATGCCGTGCTGTGAATATGGTGGTCTACAGTTCGCGTCCCGTTGCTGCAAAGACGCCTTATAAGAGTGACGGTCAAATTCTACTGTTCGATTGAAGTAGTACTAGAATTGGCGGAGGGTGCTGTTGCCTAGTTGCCTTCCCGCTTGAACTTTAAGTTAAGTCTTTCGATCTGCAGCCTAGCTCACTGACCATTACTTCTACGTTTATCTAAATCCTTTTTTATTGGGTGTTTACCTTCAGTAAATAATAATAATAATAAATCTGACAACAAGCATGCAACCTCCCTCCCCCCCAAAAAAAAACAAAAACAAAAAAAATACTGTTTCAGTTCGACAAGGCTTACTTTATTTATTTATTTATTTTTTGCAATTTTGACAAATTAAATGTAACTCGGATAGATAAACATATTTAAAGCAACACTTACATGCAGTTCCTTGCTGCCAAGTCTCTGTGGACAAACTTCAGTTCTGATAAATATTTCATACCTTCTGAAATCTGAATCCCGTACTGTAGTAGGTCTTTGACCGTTGGCGACTAGAACACAAAACATTTAGACGCTTTAAATATCTGAGAAAAGTAAACCGCTTATCATAATACCGAATAATTAGTTATGTTTCTGTCAAGAGATATAAACAGTTACAGAGATATAAACAGCTAATATACGTTCTGCGTCTCATCACCGTCCCTTCCTAACAATAAAAAAGCAAGCCAGATTATTGAGTGAAAACAATTTAGTTTTATTCAGATTTAATAAGGAACTCATACTGTGCAATTTAGTATTTATATAGATTTAACAAGGAACTCATACTGTGCAATTTAGTTTTTATTCAGATTTAACAAGGAACTCATACTGT